AATTACAGTCACAGCACTTCACAACAATTACAGTCATTGCACTTCACAACAATTCCAAATATATTCTGAATTGTATTTCTAAATGAGTGTCTTGGAAATAAACACTAGAAAACTCTCATTATGAGCTATTCTTCACGTAAGATGCGATAATGATATAGTTACAATATTATTTTATAATTATAATATATCATTAAATAAATAAATAGATATATGATTTTATAGATAAACCCTAACTCTAATCCAATATCATCTTCGAATAGGAAAACAGAAAAGAATTTCTAAAATCCAACTCAAAAATGGCTTCAAAAAAACCATGAATGTCGAGCAATATAGAAATAGTCATAACCGTTCGATTTTGGGAAATTAATGTTATCATGTCATTTTTCAACTCTTAATACTAAAAAAAACCTAAACGTTTCCACACTTGACTAAGTTAGGATTGGAAAATACTGAGTGAGGATTGATAGAGATGGAGGATATGCTGACCTTTGTACATATGTAACGCATGGAAAATTTTCATTAGGACTGTGTCAAAACACGGCTTTCTTTGACCTTCAGACATTCAAATCTTGACACATGAGTTGCAACAAGACCCCAAGCTTCCTAGGAATTCATTTGTTGCCTTTCCCAGAAAATTCTTGATCCTTTTTGACTCCTTCAAACTCACTCAATTCCTAGCATTTACTTGCCATCTTCCGTGTCTCAGATATATAACGAGTCAATTATCATCTCTTAGCATAGCTACCCCTCACATATCACTAACACTAACAAAATCTACCTAATTATTATCTACTAAAGAATACACTAAATTAGATATACAGAAAATTGAAGTACAATCTATCCACTTAATCATTGACCCAAAAAAAAAAAAATTTTAATATTAAAATCTTTTTTTTTTTTTTTTGAACATGGAGGAATTAGAGAAAAAGAAATTGAAAGGGGTGGGATCCGAAACCTCATATCTTAGATGAAATGTCCTTATCAACTAATAGATAACTACTTGAACCACTTAAAACTTTTCAAAAAACTCACTTCTTATTAATGATTAGTTATTTTGAAGTCCATAAACAACATTTTATCATATATATATATATATATATAATTGTGATGTTTTTAAAACAGAACTCTTCATTTTAAACTAGAATAAAATCCTTTCTTGGCAAATAAGAAAAGTGGAGAAAACCATTGGCATGGGCAAGTGCAAAGAAGGGAAGGAAAAGGCAAAAAATGACAAGTGTGGTGTATTGGAAATGGGTATGGGTAAAGGGGAATATGTGCTTAGAAACAGTCGTCTTCTGGGCAAAAAAACAGAGAGCAGGCAGATTCGCATTCCCATGCCACCATTCTTGTATTTATATCAATATAAATACAAACAAGAGATAATGTTTAGAGATATAAGATGCTAAATTTCATATCCAAAAAGATATTCTGTTGCCTTCTCTATCTTTCTTTTTCTTTCTTTCTTTTTTTTCTTCTTTTCTTTCTTTCTTTTTTAATTGTACCCTTTTTTTACATTAATCAATATTAAAAAAATTAATCATTATTTAATTAAAATAATTTACATAACATTAAGAGTGAAATAAATATCAATTTGTATTTTTTTAATATTAAATAATATAAAAAATGTATAATAATTATACTTTAAAAAAATCCTTTCTCTTTTTACTTTTATTTATCTATCCATATAAATAACTCTCAACATACTTTACGCTACTTAACTTTTAAATAAATATTTTTATATAATACACGGATGCCAGTTAAAATTTTTTTTAATATATACTTTTTGTTGAGTAGTTTTATTGATAAAAATCTTTAATATGCATTATATAAAAACATTATTTAAAATTACATAAAAGAACTAGTTGAGAGTTAATTATATAAACATACACTAAGTATTGACCTTGGATTAACAATTACCTTTTCTTTCTGATTTGCTAAATGAAATTGGAATTTTTTTTAACTTCAATAAAGAAAATCCATCCCTTTTTAAAAAGAAAGAGGAAATACACTTTAATAAAATTTTATCAAATAATAAATTAGGAATAAGAGTAAATGGTCTTAGGCGACAACGCGTAAAGGAGTTTGGACTGGAGCCATGATCATGACCACGAGTGAGAGTTGATCTGATGGCTGTGGTGGGGATACCATTTTTAGTAGCTTAAATATCAATTTTTTTTATTTCTTAATTTTTTATATATTTTTTTGTTTTTTTTTTCAGTTAATCTATTAAGTTTATCTAAATATATATATTTTTATTTTCTAAACTTTTAAGTTGAGAATGAAAAATATGTATATTTGGATAAACTTAAGAAACTAAGTGACAAAAAGATTAAAAGAATATATTTTTCATAAATAAAACATCAAAAAGTGTATAAAAAAGTTAAAAGATGAAAATTATACAAAATTTTAAAATTAAAGGATCAAAATTCACATTTGGCCTTTTTACTAACAACTAGTCCACTACTAAAGTGTTCTTTGCGCACATTAATTGTCTTAAATTTAGTTAATTATTTACTAATTATAAATTTTTGTATTAAGAATTAATTAAAAAATCATTAAATTATTTTTTATAACGACTAACCTTATTATATTATATAAATTGTTAAAATTTTTAATAAAATTTAAATAAATACTCATTAAAATCCTTAAAAAAAGCTCCAACAAATCTTCAATAAATATTGAATAAATGCTTAATGGGTTATCTAAAATTTAAACTTAATTATATTTTTAATAATAATATATCTTTTTAATGTAACTATACTTTAATCTAACTTTAATAACTCTAATTACATTTTAATATGAACTCAATTACAAATATGCAATACGGATATCTTTTAAAATCTTTAGAGATCCCTAAAATTCTCTAATAAATTTTCAATAAATATTAAATAAATGTTTAATAAGCCTGTTAAAGTATTTTATAAATACAAAATAAATATTAAATAAAATTTTAAAATCTTTAATAAATATTAAAAAATTTTAATATTTTAATTCAAATAGAATACTCAGTGGAAATCAAGGAACTAAGCATGGGCATTGAAAAAACAAATATTTTAAATATAAATATGAGCTTTTAAATCCATTATACTCTTATTTCCAACAAACGTAATTAATTAATATAATAAGAACAATTGTATTCAGCTTAATCTTATTTACGCATTTGCATAAAGGATTATCATCATTAATCATTAATTTAGATTAAAAAATATTTATTTTTATATTTTTAATAATAATTTTTTAATATTATAATTTTACTTTAATTTTACTTTTACTATTTCAATCACATTTCAAAATAAATAATAAAAACTTAACTGAATTAATGCGCACTATCTTAAAAGCATTTAATTTGGTGTGAAAGTAAGAGGTTCAAACTTTTGCCTTTCAATATCTTATTTATTGCTCACTATCTTAAAAGCATTTAATTTGGTGTGAAAGTAAGAGGTTCAAACTTTTGCCTTTCAATATCTTATCATTATAAAAATTGTCAAAATTTTCAATAAATTTCAAATAAGTATTCAATGGGTGTTTTAAAAATTCTTTAAAAAATCTCCAACAAATCTTCAATAAATACTAAATCAATGCGTATCTAAAATGTAAACTTAATTATATTTTTGATAATAATATTTCCTTTTAATACAATTACACTTCAATATAATTTTAAGGGCGGTGATATAAAGATAATATTTTTGTTATTTTTTATATAATTTTTATATGTTATTATATGAATAAATGTATTTAATATCATGAGATTTAAAGGAATAAAAAAGTTATTTATTTAAATGATATATAAGATTATATAAAAAAATAGTACATAAAAGTTATTTTTAAATCATTTTCTTAACTTTAATTACTTTAATGATATTCAATATAAACTCAATTATAAATACCCAGTAAGTCTTTAATAAAAATCTTTAAAAATCTCTAATAAATTTACAATAAATACTAAATAAATATTTAATAAAATTTTTAAAATTTTTACTAAATACAAAAATATAAATAACCTAATATTTTAATTCAAAAGTATACTAACCATGGATATCAAGGAATCAAGTACGGAGCATTAAAAAACAAATATTTTAAATGTAAATATGGGCTTTAAAACCCATTACACTATTATTTCTAACAGACATAATTAATTAATAATATAATAATAACAATTGTATAGAGCTCAAATCTTATTTATGCATTTGCATAATGGATCATTATCATTAATTATTAATTTAGATAAAAGAATATTTATTTTTATATTTTTAATAATTATTTTTTTAATACTACAATTATATTTCAATTTTACTTTAACGACTCCAATTATATTTTAATTTAATTAATGAAAGTTTGACCAAATTGATACTCAAACTTTGATTTGCTATAAAAGTAAAAATTCAGACCTACTTCCGAGCAGCTTGCCCTCCGATATCTTACTATATATATTAATTTAAAAATTGTTAAAATTTTTATAAATTTTAAATAAATACCCAATAAATTTTTTAAAATCTTTAAAAAAATTTCAATAAATATTAAATAAATACCTAATAAATTTTATAAAATATATACTTAATTATATTTATTTCAGTTTTACTTCAACTACTTCAATAATATTTCAATATCACTAACAAAAATTTTACCAATTAATACTCACTAATTTAAAAACTTTAATTTAATGTGAAAGTAAGAGGTTCAAAATTCTATTCTATCAAACAACTAACCATTTGATATACAAAAAATAAAAAAATTATATTTCAATCTCAACTCAGTTATACTTTTAATAATAATCTTTTCATATACATTTTTAATATTATATCTTATAATGTATTAAAAAAATATTAAAATTTTTAATAAATCTCAAATAAATATCCAACTATTATATGCACTTCTAAGTGAAGAAAATAATATTTTTCTCTTCTTATCTATTCTAGTCCGGGGTCAAATGCAGGTGCACTAAAAATGGACATAGTTAAGGTCAAACTACAAATGTTGTTATTCATAAGTAGTTAGTTATTTATATAGATTTATCTTAATATGTTAAGTAATATTCAATTTCATTATTTATTTTCTCTATTTTAAAATAATAATTATTTTTTATTTTAAGTTTTTCTTTTAAATTAATTGTTTGTCTTTTTTTAAAGATAAATAAATATTTTTTTTCTAATTTAATCTTTTTATTATCAATTTATTTTAATTAATTATTCTATTACAAAAAATATTATTTGACCTTTTAATTTTTTTAAGAATAATATAAAAAAATGTGTAAATTATTCTTAAATTTTTAATTAAAAAAAAAAACAACAATTATTCTAAGATAGAGTATCAATTACTTATTTTATTTATCAATTATTTCTAATAACTAACTTAAACTAAATCAATATTTTTAAAAATAATATACAAAAAATTACATGATTTTAACACTTTTAAGTCTATCCGTAATCCTTGCCACTAAACGTTGGCCAATTGGATGATACTAAATGAGAATCATTATTCATTAATACTACAGTTATTTTTGGATGAAATTTGAAAACAAACAAAAGAAGAGAAAAAATATATCTAATTTCTTTTCCTACATTGAACTACCCAGAATATATAAGTCCTGAATTTATACAGACAGGAGACAGATGGAGCTAGAAGAAGAAACATAAGATTAAGATACGATCATCATAATCAAGATGCTTGCTTGCTAGCTTTGATGAACATCAAAACTTATGATGATTGAAGACTAAACTACCCATTTTAACATTGTGAAAAGGGTAATTTACAAAGATGAAAATTGACCAAAAACAAACTCAAAGATGAAAACTTTTTTGCTCTCTTAGAAAGAGGAAAAACTTGATTTAAACCTAAACCCCCCCTACCTTTTTTTTTTCCCTTCATTTTCCTCTGGATTCAATATTGTCCCCAAACACCCCAGATCCTCTCTCCGATAAAGCTCACAAATTTCCTCACCGAACCCTTATCTCCTCCTTCTTCACCATTATCAAGACAAACCTCACCATCACCACCACCACCGCTGCCGCTGCTATCTTCCACCGATTCTAACTTACCAAATTCCTCCTTTCCCAAGCTCAACTCTTGCCGCCTCAGTTCACCGGACCCATCACCACCGTTTTTCTTTCGTCTTTCTTTCTTGCCCTTTTTATTTTTCCCTTGGGCCAACCCATCTTCATAAGCATCTATTATTTCATGTATAAGCTGTCGATTCGGCGACGAGTCCCACCTGACCCAGTAACTCGTGTAACACCTAAAACAATCACAGCAAAACAGAGGAGGATGATCATGCCCGCTTCCTCCTCCTCCTCCTCCACCGCTGCCACCGCTTTTAGTTGAGTTCTTGGGTGTGTTCTTCCGGTGAGTGGAGAAGTTGGGAAAGTCAGTGTTGGAGCAAGAGATGAGATACGCCAAGACCTCCTTGTCCTCCAGGGATAAACCAGCTGCAAGAGTCAAGATGGCAGCCGGAAGAAAGGACAGACAATCGGCTGTCCCCGGCGGTGATGGATGAACCGTGCCTCTCCGGTATAGCTTCTTCATGGTGTTGCTAAGAAAAGAGAAGAAGAGAGAGAGAGAGAGAGAGAGAGAGAGAGAGAGGAGTCTTCTCTAACGGAGGACTTTGAAAGGTTGATGAAGCTTCATTTTCCTTATTATATAGACAGAGAGAGAGAGGGGAGCATAGGGGGCCAAAACAAATATTGAGCCCCTTACCTTATAAAATCAGTAAGTATTAACCCCTCACTTTATAACATGACAGTTTTAACTTTTTATCTTACAAAATTAGTAAATTTTACCCCTTACCTTATAAAGTTAGTAGATTTTAACCTCTTATCTTATATTATGATATTTTTAACCCTTCACTGATATGAATTAAAGAAAATAACCCTCACCTAACATTGGTTTATAATGTTTTTATTAGTTTTATTAGTTGACTGTTAATATCCGTTAGCATTTCGTTATAAAAAATATGAAATTTAAATTTAATTTTTTTTGTTAGTTTTATTAACAGAATATTAACGGATGCAAACAGTCAACTAACAGAACTAACAGTCAATTAATAAAACTGACAGTCAGCTAACAGAATTAACAAAACTAACAAAACATTATAACATGATGTTAAATAAAAGTTATTTTCTTCAATTCGTATAAATAAGGGGTTAAAAATATCATAATATAAGGTAAAGGACTAAAATCTATTAATTTTATAAGGTAAAGAGTTAAAACCTATCAATTTTATAAAATAAAAAGTTAAAAACGTCATATTATAAAATTAGCGATTAAAACCTATTAATT